ACAAACAAACAAGAAAAAGAGAATACGGCCAATTTGATGCATTTGTTCTAATGATTATTTTCTACTGACAGTCTCACTCCTGTCTTTCCTAAAGGTCTATTAATGTTCACATCTTGTGACCGGGCTCTTTGCCTTTTCAATCCAAGCCTTTGTCTTTGGCCAACAGGGAAGAGAATGTATCATTTGTCATGAGATGTCTTGTGCTATTGTGGRGCATTTTTTTTCTCTAACCTGGAGAGACTGAGTCATTCATCAACCTTTTTTTAAGCTCACAGATTGTTCCTTAACTTCTATTTGAGAGAGGTAGCTGTGCATATTTTTCACGGTTTTGTTTTTATCTTGCCAGCTTTCATAGCTCTGAAAATACTTCTGAGAGCAATCGATAGAACGTGGCATATAACCTTTTGTACCATGCATTGTTTTTTCGGTAAGTACAGGAGGGACAAACCTTTCTAAAATAAAAGACTGCTGAATACTTTGTTGGATAGGTAAGATAAAGACTTTAAGGCACTCACATGGACCTGAAGAGCTGAGCAAGTGTCCTTCACATCGAATGCATTAAGTATAGAGGACAAACAATGTCAAAGTTTGAAAGGTAACTGCCAAGTCTCAACATTTATGCAGAAAAAAATGAGCATTATTAGAAATTTACAGCAGCACAACAAAAGCTCATATTTATTTAGGAGTTTCTCTTGGCATTCAAATTACTGGGCTGTTCTTCAGAAGTAAGACAAAAGAGACATACACAAAAAGCATAAGTGATACAAGAGAGAGGCCATGTTTTCTCATCAACTCATTCTATTTGACCAAAACCCAAGAATCTCTGTCATCCTTGAGGCCCACAGGACCTGAGATCAAAGAAAAAGAGAGCTCAAACACACAGCCTTAATTGTTCTTTCCCCACCCAATGAAATCCCCCCACTTCCACTTTGAAATGAAAAGAATAAACATATTATTCTAAATGCCTAGCCCCATGTTTTTCCACGGCTAATATCCTGTACGAGATGATGGCTGATGCAAAATAGGCAGGAGAGCCTGAGAACGGGACGGAACACAGAGGGCAGAGAAAAATCCCCCAYTTTTTATTTTCCCTTAAGAGACTGATGAAGGCTTGCCGAGATGAGAGAGAGAAGGAGAAAAACACAGAGACATGAGGGAGCGAGAGAGAGGAAAAGGGTAACGCAATCCTGACTGGCGCTGGACCAACAGCAACAAAAACATTTAGATAACCGCGCTCAATAATGAACGATTTCAATGAGGACAAAAATTACATTTCCTACAGATAACATGCCCCCTTCCCATAACAGAGCCAAAAGAGCCTTGAAACCACGTCACGCTCCTGAGTGGAGCGCTCTAGTATTATACAGGGGGAGGKTTGTAGTAACTATATTAGTATCCTTTTACCCCGCCAGAGACAGTACTTTTACTGGTTGTAAGAAGCTGGCAAAGCCAAAAAAGGCAGGAAACAAACAGAGCCTGTAGGACAAATTAATGAGCTTCTCTGTTAAAGCAACTGATCTTCCTTCAACTGTGTTACAGCACTACCAGTGGTGTGGCTCATAATATTCCCAAATGTCAATACACACTACAAGAGCCACTCCAAACACAACTCAACAAACACATAACCGAGGATCACTGTGGCACACTTGATCCTCACAGGTGGTGTGGGTCATGGTAAGAATGGCATCCCCACCTTTCTCATCCGCTAAGCACTCGCTTCCTTTCACGCCAAAATCTGTCAAGTTGCTTGAGAGGGGAAGAGGCAAGAAAAGCGGAGATATAGTGTGGAAAAGAGGTAGAGAATAAGAGAGGGAGTCTTTGTCCTCATCCACTCAGCTCCAGCATGTTTCCTCTTCGGGTCCGTCCAGTATTAGCATATGAAAGACGAGGGAAGGCGTGCAAAAGGTCAAAGAAAGAGGATCCCCGTCCAATGAGAGACAACAAAAACAGGCCACACCGGCCTTTGTCCTGTTCGTGTTCTCCACCGTCTAACCTCATGCCCCTCCCTTAACCCTGGATCATTTCCATACGCCAGAAGATGACGGTTGATCATAAATTACGTACAAAGTTGAGACGGGTCATATGGAAGTCACGGTGGCAAATTTAAGCCGCGTCACCACTCCCGCGCTCCCTCCCACCTCCGCCGCGAGAGCTCCCGTGCATGCAGGCGATCACATGAAACACACCTGCCTGGAAATTTCACAGTTGCCTCTGCCCAGACGATATCCGATCAAAGCCTCAGCAAACGTCTCAATAAAAGGAAATCGTAAGAGCAGTGTAGTTTGGTTTGATCCACGAAAGCCGCTCCCTTCCTTCCATGTAAATGCTACCTGAGCCACAAGCATCCACTACAAAATTGTACACTCCAGTGCTTTAGGGATCCAGTTTGGTATATAGAGAGAGGCTTAGAGACTTTACCAGTTTCCACTGTTACTCTATTATCATACATATTGCTTCACATGACAGCTTCCATCTGCTTGCATCTGAACAAACAGCCAAAAACACTGGCCTGGTGTTTCCTTCCAGCACAGACAGTTGTGCACCGGTGGCAGCCTCAGAGACACAGACAGGAGGAGAGAGAGAGAGAGAGAGAGAGAGACAGAGAGAGGGAGGGAGGCAGGGAGAGAACAGGGGTAGAGCATTTCATCTCTCTTTCATCTCTGTCACCCAGTCAAGCGTTCAATGCCCCATTCAGTGCCTGCCCAGCATTATGCAAAATAATGCTAATCCCCTTTCCCATGCTTTCACACTTGTATAAACTGCCGTTCCTGCCTCTGAAAAGCAATTATATCAGTTTACGTTCCTGTCAAAAAACAGGATTAGCATGCAAGTACTACTAGCACCAACTAAGGCCAATCTCTAYCCACCTTTGGCTATTGGAAAGCACAAAACATTAAATGTTTATCCACCCAAGCCCCCAAAAAGTCAACCAGTCAAACGGTTTGGTTGGTGGTAGTAGTACATGTGCTGTAATTAGGTATAAAGATATAAGAAACAGTTCCCTTCTTTAAGCCATATGTTTCAGAAATGCCTTATTAAGATTATTGATAAAACAAACTCAGCATCACCGTCAACAGATTTCACTGTTTCAGTCTCGCTTCATAGACAGTACGAGACATGAAATGCAGAGAGAATACTAAACAAATGAACTGTTGTTATGTCCCCCCCCCACCTCTAACACAGTGACTCCACATGCACATAAACTGGTCTGCACACATGCAAACACACACACTGAGCAGTCAGAGTCTTTTTGAATATGCAAATGCTTACAGAAGCGAAACGCTGCAAACAGGGGTCATTGTGAGCTGGCTGAATCTGGACAGTCGGGCCTCGTTTTTATAAAAGCTTCTTGTGTTTTTGAGCAGTAACCAAAAAAAAAAAAGGATGCACTACACTTCCAACTGATAACAAGGACATTAGTCAGTACAGTTACAAATGTCGTCATAGTGACCAACGAAATTTGCCAAAGTGGCCAGCCATAGACTTAAATGATCGAACTGGTTAGGTGCTAGCATAAGCGAGGCTAGCATGCTCCTGGCTGCCGGCCCGTTGCCTCACACACACCCATTATTCTCTTTTTTTGCCATGGTGGTACAATAGAGTCACTTGTATCTCAGCCGATACCCACCGGCAGTACAAGCTCTCCGCCTGACAATTTGCATATGTTAATATAATTAAGTGCTAATTACACTAAAACTCGCATATTCACAAGCACCCTCCCCAGGAGCTATGTACGGGCTTGATCTTGTTCCAAGTCTTTAACCCTCCTCTGCATCTTGCTCGTTGTGTGTGTGTGTGTGTGTGTGTGTGTGTGTGTGTGTGTGTGTGTGTGTGTGTGTGTGTGTGTGTGTGNGTGTGTGTGTGTGTGTGTGTGTGTGTGTGTGTGTGTGTGTGTGTGTGTGTGTGAAAAGAAGAGAAAGTGTGTGTTAGTAGTAGTGGTGCCCCAGGGCTGACACAGGAAGCTCCCCTTTTCTGAGACATAATGCTGAGACGCAGTGAACTTCTTAGCTTCTCCCCCAGCATAGGCCTCCTCGAGCCGGGAGACCCTGACACTAATACTGCAGCGGGTCAATCGTTACACACACAAACACACGCGCTTAGCTGCTAAATACCTCAATGCATCAAAACTATGAGTTTTTTTAAAAAGCTGTGTGATAAACTGTGCACAAAAGAAATACAAGACAACATTTTTTTTAAAAAGGACAACTCCCTTCTTGGAGACAGGTGAAATAAGCAGTTGTTGCATGTCCTGCTAAAATTTGTGCTTGAAAATTTGAGTTTTACCTTGTAATTTTCACCACTTATCACTCGAGGAAAGAAAACACTGCAGGTGTTTAACATGTAGTCGACAGTGAGCAGGTGCCCGGAATGACAATAGTTATTTTCACCGCAGATAAAAGAGAAAAAGAATCTACATGATTTCGTCCAGAGAGTGAGTGTATGTGTGTGTATGTGTGTGTGTGTGTGTGTGTGGATGCTAGTGTGCAGGCCTGCCGTTTTGATAATGGAGGACAGGCGGTTGTGCTTTTTACATTGTAATGGCCGTGAATCAGGGAGGAAGCCAAGCGGTCGAGCTACAATTAGAGTTCTTTTGTGCCTCTTCCTCTGTCTCTTTTTCCCTCTCTTTTCTTGCTTTCAGTCGCTGACACTCTACCTATCAAGGCTAAGTTAAAACAGTCTACGCTGCCCCTGCTGCAAAGGGTGAATGGTGGAGAGAGAGAGAGAGAGAGGGGCTGAATGGAGGGAAATTCACACTGTGCTGCTGCTGGACATGCACGGTCAGACACATGCACTATACACGCACCAGATGGTACAGGAAGAAGGATTAAATAAACACACAGGCTCACACCTATTGGCAGGGAGACGCCTCTGTGTGCACTGTCCCTTAATGAATGTCTATTGGGAGTCAGAGGGTCCAAGCTCATTTAGTCGACTCTCAATGAGATGCAGCATTATGCCTATGGTAATATGCTCCTCCCTTTGCCAATAATCATACGCAGGTCATTGTGTCAGAGTTATTCATTTCTACTGCACGCGCACGCCAGATGTTATTACGCCTGAGAGTAAATCTCTCTAGTGGGTGTCGATGGGCTCCTTTTCAAAAAACGAGTGGAGAAAAAAAAAAAAAAGAAAAATGAAAGAAATGTATATTGTTATAGCGGTCCAGTGTGTGGCGGGCTATACTGCTCGCTCAAGCATGACGGCTGGTAATGCAGGTTTGGATGTAGCTCTGCGTGTGTCTTTTTAAGGGGGGGAAGCTCCCCTTCACTAATACCTGCTTCTCGGATTACCACAGCGTCTTAAGTATTCAACCAGACTCCTATTTTCCCTTTTTGCCTTTTTTTTTTTTGCCAAATTGGCTGTCTTTACACTGTAAAGCAGCGATATAGCCCTCTTTACTAAGGGCCTATGGGGGATCCACGTAGAAGAACATTAAAATGCAGCGATAGCCTTGTTGCAAAGCTCCTCTCTATTTCTTTCTGTCTCTTTCTGCAGCAAAGGCTTCTAAATCATCCAGCCTCCTCTATTAGACGGGAGACTTATTGAGGTAGAAACCATAAAAAATGAAGAAGGGAAATTTAATCCCTGAAATATTGATTTGCACATTAATATCAGATAGGCAGAGGGCAATCTAGCCGGGTGGAAATGACACATTGTCGACCCCTARGAGAGGCCCGAGCCAATCTTCTAGCTGCATGTGTCTCAGACCCAGGAGTTATAGGACAGACTCAGCCCCTGTCTCCCTCCCCTCCTCCTCCTCCTCCTCCCTGTACCCTCTCATCCCTCTTGCCCCCCTCCATCCACACCCTTAATGAAGGCTGCAATGCTGAAAACGCATTAGCTTTTAATAATCAAGAAGCATTTTCAAGCCAACAGCTTTTGTCCTTCGAGGGCTGTCTGCTCATCTTTTACACTGGTGTTGTTTTGCGATTTATTTAGTTTTTAATCCTCCGATATACTGCTATATGGTTAAAATGAAACTTGCAAATAGCTCAACAAAACAGAAAGGGGAAAAAAATACACAACTGAAAGTGTTAAGAGCGAGCACAGAAAAACAAAAACAGGGAGGCTGGAGATTGTCTAATTATAAACCCATGGAAAGTCTCTCATTTGCAAGACAAAAAAAAGGGGGAAAATAAGAGATATTTTGTTGTTATGTAGTGATATGAAGTGAGACCACCATCATTAACTGATGTAATTCATTGCAATTAGACTAGATCGTCTTGTTTCACAACATCAGATTTAATTATTTTATTTGGTGCATGTTTTTGTGTTGAAATACAGAATTGTAATTAAAATGCCTAAACAGACTAAAGATCTGTCTTTTATTAAAATTTAGTAATAATGATGTTAAAAGTGTTTAGTTTATAAATCTAGAAAACTGATCAAATAAAATTAGCATTAAAATAATATAAATTGTATTAA